GAGAGTCTTTTTTCAGTTAATGGCTACAGGAGTCACTGTTTGGCAGCAAACTGTTGCCTATAGGTTACAGTATTTTATTATAAATACTTATGGAAAATGCATCAAAATAACAATTCAGTATATTATGAGAGAACGGCTCAGAAAAACTTTGATTATGTGGTGATCCAAAGTGTATACAAATATCTATGAAAGCCTAACTGAAAATAATATGTTGTAGTGGCAGGAAAAACTGTTTGTTTAAAATTATTTTTAAAAGTAATATTGTGCTTCTTAAAATAAATTCTCTATATTTAGAAATTTTTAAAATCTGTATAACATGATTTTTTTTTTCCCCTTTCTGTAGTGTCCCAATGTAATATCAGTTTGAAGAAACAGAGGAGTCGAAGTATCTTTAGCACCTTATTCTGCTGCTTTCGTGATTACAATGTCGAACCACCATCAAGCAACAGCACCGGTACTCTCCCACCATTGGTGGAGGAGAATGGGGGACTTCAGAAGGTAAACAAGTTGGCAATAACAGAGTTCATGCTTTTGAATGCTAGCTTTATACTGGTTTCCTGTGTGAAAAATATAATTGTAACTAAAGTAAGTTGAATGCCTGTGAGTAATATCTGCAAAGCTGCTAGTTCAAAATTGTTGTCTTTTAAAAGATAGGCCTTTATTCCATGAGTCTAGGTACTTGTGGTTCTGCAGAAAATAATTTAGCTGTAGCATATGAACAATACGTATAATTTAAATAAAATGAATAGAGAAACCCAAAGCACTAAACTTACATTTATTTTAGAAACGGACCCCTTTTTTTGTGGGTTTTTTCACCTAAACCACAATCTTCATCCCCAAGGTTAATCTCTCCCCAGCTAAAGAAAAGTTAGATATTGCATCTTGAGAGCCAGTTGGAACTGCTTTCAGCATCCAGTTGAAAAGGCATTGAGTGAGAAGAGCAACTCCCAGCGTGATGGGAGGTTACTGCTCTTTTCCAATGCCCTGCACCTGGCCGTAGTGTGTTGTCATTTAAACCAATCCACAGGTATCAGTTAGAATGGTTTATTTTGCGATGCATCTGACTGGGGTACAAACCTATTTTTAGATTTTAAATTGGATAATTGAACAGTAGGTAACTGTAAACTGATGAACCCTTAAACTTTTATAACTAAATGTAAACCAATAGCTGAGTTTACAGAGGGTTATTTTCAGCAAGTTCATATGTTTGAATTTAGACACACAACTGTGAAATATACATATAATTTTTGTACATAATTTAAACTGATGGCATAGAGTAAACTAGCCTTTCCTGGCTGGAGATTTACCATTGGGAACAGTGAACCTAGAATTCCCATCTCTTCCCAAGCTCTGCTATATTTTCAGAACTCTCCATTAGAGATTTATACCCTTGTTGTCTAGAAAAACTTCCCATTTGTGCTTGTAAGTTTGGAGATCTCAGAAAAATAAATGTGGACCTTTGGTATGTCCAGAAGTAATATAAGTAAGAGAAGTCTATTCCTTCCTCATTCTTACACAATTCCAGTTCAGTGATTCATTTTTTTAATATTACACTGGGTCGCATCTTTTCGTAGCTGGAACAACAGGTTTCATACTTCCTAGGACCAAATCTGTCCCATGTTGGCATCAGCAGAAGCAAATCGTATCAATCCTACAAAGTGCAGGAGGAGCAGCAAGAAGCTTTCTGGAGAAGTGAGGAAAAGAATGGCAAATTAAAAGAGCAGATGGAGGAGAGTTGAATTGGAATTGTGCATGTTAGCTTGAAACTGCTTTGCATCTAATTTACTAGTCCAAAAGCTCTGGATCAGATTCAGAGTTGGCTATTTTCTACCCCAAGAGGAGAAAGAATTGCATGTTTCTGTTTTGTTCAGCTCTGTCTAAATGCAAATTTTTTACTGAAGGACTAGAATGAGCAGTTCTAGTGTTTTGGTCCAGGAGTAGCGGCATACAAAAAAAGCAAAAGGTTACAGGCAACCCTTTCCAAAATAACAGATGATGGGAAGTGTGTACAGAAACAAGATTAGTGATGAAAGGGGTGAAAGACGAAAAAGGAATGAATTCCAGAGGGAAAGAGAGACCTGGAAATGTTAAATGCTTAGTGTTAAGCGGAAGACCAGAGCTGTACTAAAACCCTGTAGGTTTCTTAACTTGATAACCAGAAACTTAGAAAATAAATTACCTTTAGCTTTCTGCATTTCTCACTTTTCTTGGTACATGGTATCCTATTCAGTTTTGCTGGGATAGAGTGAATGTTCTAGTTGAATCGTTCAGAAGTGGAAACACTTCAGAGTTCATGTGGTAATACAGGTAAATTATCTAAATATCTGTACATTGTGGCTTGATGGAACTACTACCTGTGGTGTATAAATACAAGATATCATCCTAATGCTAAACTACAATAGTACTAAACTGCAAAGGTTGATGGCAGTTGGATTAATTCAAGATCAATTTTCATAACTAAATTCAAAAGCCAGAAACAACCATCACAAACTTCACACTTGAAAATTTTTAAAAGCAGACCCACTTCCTTTAATTTAGTAGAAATTGAATAATAAATCGAATTAATTAATATTAATATCAACAGACCTGTGGGATTCCTGGGGAAAGAAAAATGCTCATAACCTTAATCAAAGACTTGACAGAGACGTCTTGCATTCAAAAGCCTGTCTAACTTTATCCCAACTACATAGTTGGTCCAATAAAAGATGCTACCCAAATGAATCCTTGCCTATCACATAATCTTAAACCAGTTTAAATTTAATCCATAAAATTGTTTGAAAGAGGTGGAAGTTTTGAAGGTTGCTGAAATATTAAAAACATTAGTTTATGCACATACGTTGTAAATGTATCTGATATATGCTGCCTTTTTTTATTTTAGATTTGAAAGAAAAAAAAAAACGAACCCATGCTTAAAATAAATGAACTTCTGTCAAGATTAGTGCAGTTTTCCAGAGGATGCTGCAAATTTGCAGCTGTCAAATTTGGTTTAGTTATGGTGCTCATGGAGGCCAAATTCAGAAGCACTGCGTAAAGGTGGTAAAAATTGAACGTTAAAGTGGGTGTAATGATATCTACGTTGGTGAAATAAAACTGCCGGGGGATGAAAAATGAGATCTGCTGTAGAAGGGACAAAAAATAAGCAGGTGCTGTAACTCGCACATTACTTTCCCGTTACTTGTGGCTCCTACAGCACTCCTATTTTCCAGCCCCTTGGTAAATTACAGGTAAATTGCACCCATTTAGAATCCCTTAAACTCTGAGCTAGTGTGCATATACTTGCTTGCTTCTCTGCATCTGCTGTCACCCATATCCTGAGGTGGTAACTTCTTAGCACTTTACAGATTATCTCTGAATTTGGCCCAGATTCCCAAGGCTCACTTCACCAGGCACGAGCATATGTAACTTGATTGTTTACTTGCTAAATAGAAAAAGCCTCTTAGCATTAATGGTGTTAATTAGTTGCTGTCAGGAGCTGTAGTATAAAATGGCTTTGCCCAGATTGTGTCTTCTCTCTCAGTGTACGGTGTTGCAATATTGCTAGTGATGAAAACAAAAGAAACAGAGAGAAGCAGAAGTAGGAAAGCGTATTCTCTTTTATAGAAGTTCAGTGTAAGCAGAGGGTAGGCAAAATACAGCCTCCAGGGTGTCCCTTAGCCCCACCTGGCCCAGGTGTAGGGATCCTGCTATCCCTTGATGAGCAGCGGGGCTGAGGCAGTGCAGCAGCCAGACTGGCTTCCCAGAAGCCCCCACATCAGTGACTTCCAGCTGCTGCTGCCAGACCTGGCCCCACTGCCCGAGCACCCTAGCTCATCTCCCCTGCACACATCACCAGGAGCACCAGATGCAGCAGGCAAGGCAGGTCTCCATGGAAATCGGATGGAACCCCCATGGGCAAGGTGGATGGGATGGGGCTACAGGCAAGTGGGGAGCAACATCCAGGAGTAGACCAGGTGGGTGAGGCTGGTGCCTGGATCCCAGGGCAGTGACAGTGCAGGGCCATGCTTGGAGCAGATTGTAGCTCTGCCCTGGGCCCTGGCCCCACACCCACACTCGCCCTGGCCCTGGCTTCCAGACACCGCTCCCTGCCTGCCTGCAGCTTCATCCCATCTGCCTGGCCAAGCGCGCACACTGCCTGTAGGAGCCCAGCCAGTCTATGCTGAAACCATGCCCACTCCAGTAATCTACCCCTTAGGAAGTCTTAGTGAGGCATTTGGAGTGGCAGGGGAGGGAGGTGTGCTGACCCAGCCCATAACAATTCGCCAAACCCCCCAAAGTGGCTCTCCAGCCCAAATAATTGCCTACCCAGGTATAACCAGTTCTCAAACTATTTAAGAATGTTCCTGAAATTGATGTGACAGTTCTAGTTTTAATTGGTGTAGGAAATATTTTTTTATTTTAATAACTTTTAATGTGTAATCCCTGTCAATATTGGTGTCCTGAAGCTCTCACATTAAACAATTCCATAACTATTTTAATTTCATCTAGAAACATATTTTTCAGATAAAATGCAAAATTACTTCTGCATTACAAAAAAAAAATTGCAGTATGGCTGTGATTTTGCTAGCTAAGTATCAGTTAACATGTTCACAGGCTTGGACGAAACGTCAGGCTGAAGAGGGTGATCTTGAATAACCCTGACTTTTATAATATGGATTTCTGTTCCATTTAAAAAAAAAAAAACTTTAAAGTATTCCCAGTTTTGCAGAGTGTGAAATGCTTCTTTTAAAAGTGATACTCAAAGCAGTTGCTTTCTTTGTGACTCACATGCTGAATATTGATCAGTCCGTTCTGCGAAGAAAAAATAATTGCAGTAACACCCTTTCCAATAACCATATTTACCAAAATTATAATGTAGACTTGTTCCTTTCTTAAGTAGCTACAGTGTCCCTTAAGGCAACACAAACCTTTGAATTGGTCAGTGTGAATACAGGCATTAGGGGAGGTCAGATCACATTGAAAATGGCCAGCCAAGCTAACTGAGTTTCCCCATGTGCAGACCTTACATTTGGATCCCTAATTAGGTTAATCTAAGTGTGAACTGTATAGAAGTTTCCCGAAGGTTAGATCTGTTTAAAAAAAAAATGGTCAACTGGGTCTAATTTAACTCTACCTTGGAGTTAGTCTAACTTAGATGGGTTCTTGCAAAACCGATCTAACTGAACTTCTGTACACATTCCCAGCACAGCCTCCTGCCTTCCCCAGCACTGAACCTATTTTTAACCACCCAGCTCCAAACCTGCCAGCCCCCACAGTCCTGCAAGCCACTTCTGGTGCTGGTTTTTTGGCAATCATTGGTGCTGAGAGCCAATAGAAGTAAGTTGGAGTGGGAGAGGTGATGGAGGACACAAGGCAGGAGGAAGGATTTTTCTACTGGTGGGATTAGGGGGCTAAAAATACCCCTTGGTCCCCAGTGTGGAGAGCAGAGCACTGAATGGAATAAGATACATATCCCCGACTGCAGACTTCATCTGTCCTTCCCTGCTTTGCTTTTCCGTAGG